GGGAACAGCACGGGGGGACAGCTTGTCCGCAGACAAGTCGCGGACAAACGCCCGAGATCCCCAGACCCGAAACGCAGACGCATCGCCAACCTTCCCCGTCCACCGCAAGGTGGGGGAGGTCTCTGGCAAGGAGACCCGGGGCTAAAGGTTGAGCTGATGCGCTGCGTACTAAACCGCAAACGGCCACGAAAAATGGGGGGCAGCCGGATGGATCATGGACGTACGAGCGACATCCATGACCATGCCAATGCGGCGCTCAGCAATCCCATTTTTCTGTGGAGAGTCCAGAAGCGTGAAGGTCTGACGGATGACTTGTGCATGGCAGAAGGCTCCCAGACGGGCACAGGAAAACTGCCCACCTCTGTTAGAGTGCAAACGCAGAACAGGAAAGTCCGAGCCAAAACTCTCTCTGGGCTGGAGACGAGCTGCGCGGATTGAGTCGATCAACACCTCAGTGACGTCACCCTTGCTGCGCAAGGGGAAGACTGTGGTGTAACGCGAGTAGTCGTCAACCACCAACAGGAAGTAACGCTCGTGCCCGTGTCCATGGACGCGGGCGGGGCCCCACACGTCCATGTGAAGAGTCTGCAGCGGAGCCTCTATCGGAGGAAACTCGGAGGAGTGAGGGGCGGCGCGCTGTCGCCCCTTGACGAAGGGGACGCAGGTAGGGGCAGGCCCCGAAGGTAGGGGAGGTAGAGACCGGGGAAGTCCAGAGACAAGGACACGGGAGGCCATGCCTCGGAGATGAGGCAGGGAGGGGTGACCAAGGCGGTGGTGCCAAAGGAGAGTCTGGTGGGACAGGAGATGACACGAGCAGGGAGCAGACTCAGGACCAGACCTGGACGCTGCAGCAAACACCTGACTCGACGCAGCTACCTGACCAGACTCAGCAGTCGGAGGAGACTCAGTAGTAAGTGTGTACAGGCTCGACCCCGGTAGAAGGGTGAACTGTGGCCAAATGTCGGCCTGTCCGAGCACTCGTGCAGTGGGTCACCCGCTGACTCGCAGGAGTGAACTGGTCGACCCCCCTATCCTGTAGATCAGCTCCACTCACCAAGTTTGTAGAGAACGAGGGGAGGTACAGACCTGACAGGGTGCCCGAGGGGGCTGCCGGGCACGGTAAGACAGTGGAGAAGCTAGCAAGGACAGGACCCCCAGAGGGGTCCGCCAGGGAGACCGCAACCGGCCGACTAAGCGGGGTAAGAGTGGTGCGGTCTCGAAAGAAGGAGCGGGAAGCACCCGAGTCAAGGGTGAAGGTGTGTAAGGCCTAAGCCAACGTGGTACCTGAGAGGGCAGACTCACCAGCACTTGTGGCAGCAGACTGGATACCGGGGTCAGGCGGCACACACAGGTGATAGACTCCCTCGGCACTAGTAGACAATGCATACATTGCAGTGAGAATAGCATCATAGTCAAGAGCAAAGATATCTACCCTTTGCCTAAGGAGCTCCACCCAGTCAGGGAGCTGAGCGTCGTCGCCAAACTCTGTACGCCAAGCGTCGCTCAGACGCGCGAAGCAGCGCGACTATGTGTGACTACGCGTCCTGCAAGTCTGACCAGTCCGGACACCCGTGCTAATAACGTACGGGCAGCTAGCACTACTCAGCGACCCTCCACTCTGAGCGTACCACTCACGAAGCTGCCTGGGTGAAAGAGTCTCGCGCGGAGAACGCTGCTGCTGCACCTGGCCACTACGAGAAACTCCCGAACTACCCACTCCAGGACGACTCCCACTACTGCCACCCTGACAACCCCAACTGGTGTACCACTCACGAAGCTGTTGGGGGGTGAGGGACTCACGTGGGGGACGCTGGAGCTGCATCCTGCCACTAGAAGCAGCTGCGGAACTACTCACTCTAGGACGACTCCCACTACGGCCACCCCGACAACCCCAACTAGCGTACCACTCACGAAGCTATGGGGGGTGAGGGACCCACGCAGGCGACGCTGGGGCTGCATCTGGCCACGCCAAGAGCAGCAGTAGCGGTAGAAAGAACAGCAGCAGTAAGAGCAGCAGTAACAGCAGTACGGGTAGGGCAGTGCTCACTAGTGGCGAGAAGGGCAGGTGGACAACGGCGGCAACGGCGATGCCACTACCACTGTAGAGCGAGAGCTCCGCGGCTGCTGCAGTGGCGGCTGCTCCAGGGGCGGCTGCTGCAGTGGCGGCTGCTCCAGGGGCGGCAGCTGCAGTGGCGGCAGCTGCAGTGGCGGCTGCTCCAGGGGCGGCTGCTGCAGTGGCGGCTGCTCCATGGGCGGCTGCTGTAGTGGCGGCTGCTCCACGGGCGGTTGCTTCTGCTGGGCGGCTCGGCGGCTCGGCAGCCCGCTAGGGGCGGCGACGGGGCCGGGTAGGGGCGGCGACGGGGCGGCTAGGGGCGGCGACGGGGCCGCGGAGGGAGGGGAGAGGCGATGTGGCCGCTAGGGGCGGCGATGTGGCCGCGTTGGGGCGGCTACGAGGCCGCGTAGAGGCAGCGACGGGGCCGCGTAGGGAGGGGAGCGGCGACGGGGCCGCTAGGAGCGGCGACGGGGCCGCGTAGGGGCGGCGACGAGGCTGCGTAGGGGCGGCAACGGGGCCGCGTAGGAATGTCAGCGGCGACGGGGCCGCTAGGGGCGGCAACTGCGGCCGCTAGGGGCGGCGACAGGGCCGCGTAGGGGCGGCGACGGGGCCGCGTAGGGGCGGCGACGGGGCCACGTAGGGATGGGAGCGGCTACGAGGCCGCTAGGGGCGGCGACGGGGCCACGTAGGGACGGCAACGGGGCCGCGTAGGGGCGGCAACAGGGCCACGTAGGGACGGCTACGGGGCCGCGTAGGGAGGGGAGCGGCTACGAGGCCGTTAGGGGCGGCGACGGGGCCGCGTAGGGGCGGCTATGGGCCGCTTAGGGAGGGGAGCGGCTACGGGGCCGCTAGAGGCGGCGACGGGGCCGCGTAGGGGCGGCTACGGGGCCGCTAGGGGCGGCTACAGGGCCGCGTAGGGGTGGCAACGGGGCCGTGTAGGTAGGGAGGCGGCAATGGGGCCGCTAGGGGCGGCGACACGGCCGCTAGGGGCGGCGACAGGGCCGCTAGGGGCGACGGCAGGGCCGCTAGGGGCCGCGAGGGGCCTGGAAGGGCGGCTACGGGGCCGCTAGGGGCGGGGACGGGGCCGCCGAGGGTGGCGCGAGGGGCCGTGAGAGGGGCCTCTAAGAGAGGTCGACAGAAGGGCAGCCCACAGGGAGCACCTCGGGCAGGAGTGACTGTCGCTCCGGTCCAGAAAAAAAGTTTTAGTGGTGGGCCTAAGGAAGCTTTCCACTACGGAATCTGCTCTATACCATGTGAAGAAATGAGGAATGAATGAACTAGCAAGCAGGTGGGTACAAGTAGGAAAACCTAGAAGTTTTGTACCCCATATTGTCTACCCCACTACAACCTTTACACACTATAGCATATGAGTTTGACAATCGTGCATCCAACGGCTTTGAAGTGAATTTCAAGTTCAGCTACGAATTGACGAGCGTTGCTCACTTTATAGGATCGAATGCCTCCGGGAGCCTCAGCATCACTGCTTCGAGGTTAACTGTAGCTGCTGCCGTTGTCGCAGGTACAATTGTCGGTGTCACCGCCGGTGCTGCTACTGCTGATGCTGTTGTCGCTAATGCATTGCAACTGCTTTGCATTCGCTGCAGCTGTGGCGTTTGCCGACTGGTTTGCAATGAGTATTTTGAGTCGTAGGAGTGCCGCACATAATGTTTTTTTTTTTTTTTTTTTTTTTTTTGAGTGAAAGCTTACACAGTACTCTACAAGCAAAACTCTTCAGACGTAACTGATGAACTGGGATCAGGCTGGTGAAATTACGCTTGGCCCTCCCCACAGCTTTACGGTGGCTTCACGAAGGTTCTCGGGTTCGACCAGATAGATTGAAAGCTTCCTTGCCACTTCAGCCCCACCGCCTCATTGAGGCATATCTGCCGCATGACACGTGCCTCGTCCTCCGCCAAGTTCCACCTCACCTTATCCTTCCTTGCGTGCCTACTCGGCTTGCCACAGTAGATTCTCGCATGCTTGTTGAATTCGACATTGATCCTTCGGAGCAACTTCCGTGCCTGGAACTTCTTCACCTTACGGAGCGACACATCACATCTTCCTAAGCAAACCTGGTGCATCGCCACTGCCACCATGGTAGCCTCGGGAAAGCAGGACTTCGTTCCCTCCTCCCCAAACATGAAATCTGCCAGCCTGTCAACCCGCCTTGCTGGCTGCATCATGCTGAGCGCCGATTTGACAGCGGTAGCCACTGGTGCCACGCTCCTGCATTCCAGCAAGCAGTGTTCCAGCGTCTCTTCCAGACCGCAGTTCGGGCATGCCGCCCCACCTTTCACGAACGGAACCCTTTCCCCCACTTGCAGGTTGAGATTGTGCACGCGGAGGAGCACATCTCTCGCTTTGGCTGGAACCACCAATGAGTCCCGGATCTTCTGACTCCTCTCCTAGTCAATTTTCCTGCCCGCCCGGGCCTCCCAGCTCGACCTTTTCCCTTCCACCGCCTCTATCCCCTTGCTCGGCTCCCTGAGTTCCCTCACTGGGACCACCACTTCTTCTTTGAATAGGGATGAATTTAGCAGCCGCGCCCTTGGATCCCCGGCTTCCCGTATCTCCCGCTCTTGAGACAGCTTCGCCGGTACCACACTGTCGCAACCTAGCACTAGCCTTACGTCCCACGCTGTGAGCTCCCCTCTACCGCTGAGCCCCCGAAGGTCCACCTTTCTGCCCATCTTGCCGCAGATTTCCCAGAGACACCTCTACCCGCTTGGGAGTCTGGTGCATACCACCGACGACTCTGCAGCAACCTCCTTTGCCGTCAGAGGTGCTAATACCCACTGTCGCCTCCGCTCTGGTGCCGCGTTGAACACCTTCAGTGCCATCTCCGCCTCCCTTTTCCCACCCAGCTCCCTTGCCAGTGCCACTTCCGGCTTAAGCGTCCTTGTGCCGTCCCATTTCCTCAGCACCATGTCGCGCATTTGCCACGTTCTCAGCTTCTCCCAAACGGGGCATTTCCGGGATGAATGATGTATTTGTTGTAGCACAGAAACTCCTCTTTTGCTTCCCACCTGGACGCCACCTCTGGTACTGCCACCACCGTTGATATCAAAATTGTTTTATACAGCCTTGCCCACCTCCTGCTTTTAAACAAGCCTCCTCTCAGCACCGCCTTGTGCGCGTACAGCGTTGCCCACCCAAGAGGTAAGCTTGCCGGTTTCTCTGACAAACCCCGTCTTAGCGAGCACTCCTGCTGCAGCCCCAATCCTGCGCACCTCATAGCCACGCTGTCGATTCTCCCCCTCAGATCTATCACCCCCAGTCCCCCTTGCTCTCTTGGCGTGTATATCAGGTCCCCACTCCAGAGCCTGAAGTGCCGCTCCGGGTCTGCGTGGATACCGGACATGAAATTTTCAATCAGCTTCTCCACCCTTTTCCACAGCAGGTCGTCCGGCGGGTATACCTGCGCCTGAAAAAGGAAGATCGGCAGGACGTAGCTGTTGATGATGGTCACGCGCGCTCCAGTCGTAACATACTTGGTGCTCCACTTGCTCAACTCTCCTCCTGCTCTGTCAAAGGCTTTTTCCCACGTTGCCTCCGCGTCTCCCCCAGGAAATATCCACACTCCAAGAAGTCTTTCAACTTCATTCACCCCCACCCACTTGTATTCCATACCATCTGGTGCCTGTAGCCCCACATTCCTCCCCAACGGCAGGACCACAGAATTCCCCTTGTTCACTCTCAGCCCCAACACCTCCGCGTACTCTTGCAACAGCGCCCCCGCATCCTTCAGCTGCTCCTCTCCCTCCAGCAACAATGTCGTGTCATCTGCATACCCCACATACGACAGCCTGTCGCAGGTGCCTTCTCCGATTCCTAATTTCCTCTCCTCTGCTAGCCGGCACAACGGCTCCACCGCGCACAAGAAAAGGTACAGCGCCAGTGACAACCCTGCCGCACCACTTTCCTCATCGTGATTTGCTCTCCTACCCAGCCGTTAACACACAGTCTTGTGTGAACGCCACTGTGCAGGGCCTCTATCCACTGTATAAGCCTTGGTGGAAAACCCAATTTGGTGACCGTTTCCACCATGAAACCCCTGCACACTGAATCGTACGCCTTCTCGAAGTCAATCAGGAGTAGGTACTAGTCGTTGTTTTCGTTTCGGCCTGCTTCAATCATATCAGCCACCATTGATACTGCGTCTGTTAACCTTCTTCCGGGTAAGAAACCGTACTGCTCCTTTGAAATAACTTGTCCCAACACCGCCTTCATCCTCGTCGCCACCATCTTTGCCAGAAGTTTGTACACCCCTAAGAGCAACGTAATCGGCCTGCAATTCTTGATATCTGTTTCCGCCCCCTTCTTGTACAACAATATTGTGACCGCCTCATTTGCCACGTCCGGCATCTTCCCTGCCGCGGCAAACTCCCCAATCATCTTCATCACCGGCTCCCGTAGCAGCTCCCAGTGCCACTGATACAACTCCTTGGGCAGCCCGTCCCATCCCGGTGACTTATCGTTGGCCAACCCTTTGGCGGCTACGCAGGGAAATACACCGCCAGCACCCGCAACACCCTCGTCCCTCACCGTAGCCGCGCGTGCAACAATCTCCCCGAAGAGTGACGCTGAACGTCTTCTATCTATACTCCATCCTTGAAAGGACGGCCGATCCACCCGCTCTGGTAGGTGCTGCCACCACGACCATGAGATCAACACCACGGCAGGGTCCTTCAGAATGAGCCTGGTCTTGAGATCAACACCACGGCAGGGTCCTTCAGAATGAGCCTGGTCAGATATGTGATCCTGACTGAGGCAGCTGCGCGTAGTTGACACACCCACAACATTAGCACCGCAACACCGTGGAGACGACAAGCAAGAAATCAACAGATAAGTCGAAAACACCCCCCCTCCATTACCATTGATTCCATGGACCCGTCCCAGCGATAGGCTCCAGTTGCTGATGTTGTTTTGTCAATCCATCACGTACTCATAATGATACCTCGTCATGTGATACCCCGAACAGTAAGCACAGTTCAACGAGGGGTAGTGCACCAGCAGTTGCTTATCATAATAAGTTGGGTCATCGATCATATGGCGCCAGCAGTACTTATCCACCACATGCTGTTTGACCAGCCCTTTGACCTTGTCGGTGTCCATCCCTATAACAGGATTCACCACACGATGGAAACAACTCCCTTCCTTGAAAGCCGATCGCCATTGCCGCCATTGCCGCCGCCATTGCTGCCCTCATTGCTGCCCCCATTGCCGCCCCCATTGCCGCTCCCATTGACGCCCTCATTGCCGCCCTCATGCCCTCCTACACTGTTTCTTGGCCTTCTCATCACTCCACCACACACAGACTCTGTTCTGCCTCCCTTCACCCCCGTCTCTGCACCGCCAGCCCTTCCACTCTCTTTCCGCTTTCCCTCCTCCCCCCCCTCCCCCTCGCCTCGCCCCTCCTCATCCCCCTTCGGCCGGCATGCTCCAGTCTGCCGGTCAGCGAAGCATATGCACACCCTTCGTCTCCACCGAGCCTCACGCCCATGTGCCAGACGAGACCTCGAGGCTCGGCAGCCATGCCGATACAACAACGCCAGGGCCAAGGGGAGAAAAGTGCACGAGCCAACTGCTCCGGGATGGTCACGAGGTGCGTCTGTTGGGTGAATGGCTCGGTCTGAACCTTCAGGATAGGACTAGTCCAGAGTAAGTGCTGCATAGGGTTCCGACATTGCGTCATGGAAAGCTACATATACGGCGGCAGCAGCAGTAGCAGCAGCGGGGATGGGAGCGAGGGAATCAGCATAGCGATAGGGCGAGCATGAAGGGTGAGAACGGTGTTGCGCTAGCAACTCGGTAGAGTCTCGGTAGTGTTTGCCTCTAACGACTTTGTGAGAAACCAAGTAGCATTTGGGCCAAGTAGAATTGAAATATGATCCATGAATACAAAAGCAAACACACAAAATAGATATAGGCAGACGAGAGTTCACACAAGGTTGTGTGGTGCTGCAGGATAACCCAACTCCACGAAAGTGACGTGCAGGTAGGTTGAACGCGCCTTGTACAATTTCAACCCAACCCAGTAGCGAAATGGCCCTTCTCACACGCCATCCCAGCTAACACCAACTCCAACTCAGCAACACCATACATGGCAACCACAGACTTGCACGTGCTTACGACTTCCCCAGACAGCAGCACCCCAGCACGGACTTTGTTGGCGCTGCAGTAGTTGCGCGACATCAGCACATTTCCTGCGTTGCTATCTTCAATGCCAGTCTCGGCGTAGTTCCCTAGCCAAGTCGTCGAGGGCCCTTGCTGTTGTAGGGCCCTCTTACACTCCCTTGCCATACTACAGCAAGGCCCGTTAAAAACACAAGGCATACATACACACATACACGCCAAAAGGGACAAAACAAACAAACGAAGCACTCTCAAAGTGCAAACACGCACCGCACCAGCCATGGATAGGCCATGGCACCATCCTCATCATGGAGTATTCAGGTCTCACTCCTCTCGCTCGAGAGCCTAACCTGCCGCACAGCCTCGAAGCATCGACTGAAGGCGGGGAAATGCAACGCCTTTGTAAGATAGTCTGCAGGCTGCTCGCTCGTAGGGATGTACTGCAGCTACAGGTTCTTGCGCTTGACCATGTGCTGCAGCCACATGTGGCGATGCTCCATGTGCTTGAGGTTCCCATTGATCCCCATGCCACCTGCCATTGTAATGGCGGAGGAGTTATTCACAAAGAGAGTAGTGGGCCCTCACTCCTCAGCAGTTGAAACTCTGCCAGCAGGAAGCGGAGCCTGCGCGCCACCTTTACAGCCTCTACAGCAGCAACCTACTCAAACTCAGTGGAGGAGAGGGTAGAGCAATGAATCCACTGGCTTGTCCAAGAGACAGTAGCACAAAAACATAGCCACCAGTGCTAGTCCTGTTCTGCTTGTCTCCTGCATCATCAGCATTGGCGAAGCCCACCAGCTCCAAGGACTCCGGCCCACCACCAGACTCTAGCGCCGCATCCCTGCTCCCCACCAAGTATGCCAGGCACCAGTCCGACTCCTTCCAGTGCTGATCACTCCGCACAGTCTGGCCCGACCCCAATTTTCTGTCAAAGAGATGTCGGGACGGGTGGTACACGCCACGAATTGCAAGGATCCCACCTTCTGCCTGTACTCCTCCTCCTGTCAAGACTGCCATCCCACATCCTCAAAAGTCTGCACACTAAAAGGGTCAGAGAAAAGAGGGGTCCGAGGCACTCGCAGCGGCTGCTCCCCGTCGAAAAACCGCCTATGGGCCTTGTCCACATAGGCCCCGTGGTGCAGCCACAGCCTCCTGGTAATCAGCTGCAACCCGAGATACTTCTGCACAGGGCTAATCTCCCGCAGCTGAAAAGCACTCTGCAGTAGGTCACGCAGCTCCCCTAGCATGCTCTGACTGCGGCTGGCAGCAAGCAAATCATCCACATACACCTTTAGCCAGCATATCTCCCCCTCAGCATAACTCTTGAAGTACAAAGCCTCATCCACCTAGCTCTTCTTCCATCTAGCCCCAAGCAGCACCCCATCCAAGGCCTCATACTATAGCATCGAGCTCTGATTGAGCCCATACAGACTCTTCACCAACTTACAGACACGAGGTGTCCCATCTTCGTAGTAGCTCGGCTGCTCCATGTAAAGGTCTTGGTCCAGCACGCCATGGAGGAATGCGTTCTTCACATCCAACTGCATCACGTCTAAATCGAGTGTAGCTGCGATCGCCAGAAGCACACGTGTCGTCACATAGCTTCCCATAGAGGCATACGTCTCCTCATAGTCCACCCCTGCCACTTGTGTGAACCCCTTCACCACCAGCCTCGCCTTCTCACGCTCCGCTATCCCATCCGGTCGGAACTTGGTGTTCAAAATCCAGCGGTTCTTCATCACATTCACCTCTAGCGAACACGGAACCAACCCCCACGTCCCTTGCCCAATCAAGCTCTGCATCTCCTCATCCATCACCTTGTCGCCCTTCTAGCAGCCCAAGGCCTCCTTCACTGTCATTTTCGCTATATCCCACTGCCTTTCAGCGTCGGCCACCACATCTGGGTCCAGGTCCGTCAACTCCTTGTCCTCCTCCTCGTCATCCAAACCCGCCGGCTCAACCACTGCTGCCCAAGCATATTTAATAGGCGGGATACCATGATTGATGCGAGTGGAGCGACGTAGCGGTGCAGTGATCGCCCCAGAAACCAACACACGACCACCATCTCTAATTCCCCACATCTCCTGCTCCCCTCTCTGCTGCTCCCCTAGCTGCTCGTCCACTATCTGCTACTCCCCAATCTGCTCTTCCCCTATCTGCTGCTCCTCAGTCTGCTGCTCCCCTATCTGCTGCTCCCCTATCTCCTGCCCCCCACTCTACTGCACTCCATCCATACTCTGCAGCTACTCAGTCACAAGGCGGTGTTCGTCGGTGATCACCACAGACGGCGGCACCACTGTCCCCTTCTCACAGGCGTCGTCGTGGAAGATAAAGAGGAGGGTAGGGCAGGTGCAGGAGGGATGGAGGGTGGAAGGGGAGAGGGAATAATAGGAGGAGGATGGAAATCCAAAGGGGGTCAGGATGGAGAAGGCGCGGTAGGAGGTACCACACGACGATACACTGGAGGAGGAGGTGGGGTGGGAGTTGAGGTAGGGATGTAGGGCATAGTAGGAGGTGCGACCACTTCCTCCTCCTCCACCTCCTCCTTAAGAGTGCCTGGGAAGAGTGAACGAAGGGGCTCATAGGGCATCGGACGCCACCCATGCTCCTGCTGATGACAAGCCTTCCATCCTGCCAAGGATATGGTTTCATAGAAAACTGCTTCTAAAATGGTGATGAGGCGATTGGACTGCAAGTCCAGCATGTTCCAGCCCTTGCTCGTTGCTGACACCTCCAAGTGCAATCCCCAGCAAGCCTTAGGTGCCAGCTTCCCCCTACGCTACGACTGCGGCACCATATACTGCAGCATGCATACCCAGACACGCACCATACTGACATCGGGTTTGCGTGGGAAGGCGAGATCGTACGGCATCACACCAAAGGGCAGCGAGGCATGCTCCACACGGTTGCACACCCACACGGCGCGAGGTGGGGTGGTAAAACTGCCACCCAGGCGCGTCAGGGGGAAAGCCACGGAAGACGCAGGGAACAGCACGGGGGGACAGCTTGTCCACAGACAAGTCGCGGACAAACGCCCGAGATCCCCAGACCCGAAACGCAGACGCTTCGCCAACCTTCCCGGTCCACCGCAAGGCGGGGGAGGTCTCTGGCAAGGAGACCCGGGGCTGAAGGTTGAGTTGATGTGCGGCGTACTGAACCGCAAACGGCCACAGAAAATGGGGGGCAGCCGCATGCATCATGGACGTACAAGCGACGTCCATGACCATGCCAATGCGGCGCTCAGCAATCCCATTTTGCTGTGGAGAGGCCGGAAGCGTGAAGGTCTGGCGGATGCCCTGTGCACGACAGAAGGCTCCCAGACGGGCAGAGGAAAACTCCCCGCCTCTGTCCGAGTGCAGACGCAGAACAGGAAAGTCCGAGCCGAAACTCTCTCTGAGCTGGAGACGAGCTGCGCGGATCCAGTCGATCAACACCTTAGTGACGTCACCCTTGCTGCGCAAGGGGAAGACTGTGGTGTAACGCGAGTAGTCGTCAACGACCAGCAGAAAGTACCGCTCTCGCCCCTGCCCACTGACGCGGGCTGGGCCCTACACGAAGGACTTTGACACCTCCAGCAGCAACGGCAGAGGTGACAGGGAGGCGTCGTGCTCGACAGTCGGCGTGGTGGAGTTGATTGTCTCGCTGGCGCCAAAGGCCAGCGAGGACTTCAAGGCACTCGCAGCGGCCGTGGAGGCAAATCCGCTGGTGGAGGTCTTCATCGACATGGCACCGAGCGGCATCATGAAGCATGTGTGAGGCTTCAACGGGGCGTTACAGAATGTCGAAGTTCGCGGCACTGTCGCTCTACAAGGGGAGGCCAGAAAGCAGGTCCTCATTCCCCACATGCTCTATGTTCCGGGTGTGCAGGCAAACTTGCTGACAGTCGGACAGCTAAAGGAGAGCGGTGTGAAGCTGCAGGACGACGGCGACAAAATGCAGCTCGTGTCGAGTGCAAAATAGATACTCGGTCGGGCACGCTACACTGGCCGCGTCCTCTGCACCGACCTTCGCCCCTACTCTACGCGGTCGACGTGGACCGAGGTGGTGGCTCTACGAACGATAGATTCCGCGACGAAGTCGACACTCAACCGGTGGCACACAAGGCTCAGACGTGTCGGCGTCGACGCGATCAAGAGCTCAAGGATACATGAAGTCGCCACCGGCCTCGATATCAAGCCGCCAACCGGGGCCGACTTGCCGTGTGTCTCGTGCATCGGCGGGAAGTTGGCGCGAAATACCTTCCTTGACAAAGGCTCCGATAACGAGGAGGCGTTGGCTGCAGTACACATTGACTTGTGCGGGCCATTCCGGGTGACTTCGAAGGACGGCAACTTGCACTTCCTCCTGCTAAAGGACCATCACACTCGATTTGTGTGGGTGAAGCCGGTCGCTAAGAAGAGGGACGTGCTGCGGGAGTTCGAGAACTGGCTGCTGTTGGTGGAGCGACAGACAAAAAAATGGTGCTAATGCATCGCTCCGATTGCAGCGGCGAGTTCCTGTGAAAGGATTTCACCAAATTTGTCGATGGGAAGGGCATCG